GTTTGCCTGGGTCGGCAAAGAGAGAAGCTGCATGTTGCAGCGCGGGGGCGCGGGCAGGTGCCGTGATTTGCGACGGGGAAACAGCAGCTCTTGGCGCCTCCGTCTGTGGGCGGCCGCTGTGCGCCTCGCCCCGTGGAGGGTCGTTTCTCGCGGGCATCCGCGTCGGCCCGCGGCGCGCGCCCGCGAGGTCGCGGCGCGGGGTGGTTGCCGGAGCCAGCATGTAGCAAATCGCACCGTTCGCCGTTTTCGCAAAGACGACCTGCCGCGCACGCTGCGCACGCGGCCAATTCGTGGCGAGCTTTCCTCCTGGAGGTCGCGCTGGTTACGTTCGAGTCGGTGCATCTCGACGTTGGCCACAACGCGTTCTCGCAACCACTCGTAGGTGCAATTGGGGTCTTTCAACTTCATCTTGTTGTAGTCGCGCATGTCTTGCGTCACCCGTGGATGTCTGCAGATCTGAGCTCGGAACAATGGCTCGAGTATCTTCGTGTCCACTGGATCAAAGCATTCCGAAAATAAATTGCCCCAGTCCACAATCGACCCATGGAGGTCGTCGCCCCGCATGCGAATAAAGTGTAGACGTTCGAAGTCGCGCATGGTGTCGTCAACGTCCGTGGCCTCGTAAAATTCCAAAATCGCCCACTAGATTGTCTACGTCTCAACGCGCGGCCGGCTTTGTGCTCTCGCGCGCTGAGGTCTTTCATTCTGTAACGGAGCTCAATATTGATAAAAGCAAAATCCAGCGGCGAGCTTGCCATCGATGCACTCGTAATCGCCACTGTTTTGAGATCCATAAACTAGCGTCAGGCTGTTCGGCAACACAGAGGAATGTGCATGCCTCGGCAGGGCGCCCGGAGGCGCGGCCGAAATTGCCCCTGACCATGCGTTGCCACTCTTGTCACTGAGTAACATGCGGCAATTGAGGACCGCGCGAGGTATCTGATTCCGGGATCAGGGTGGTGCGACCGAGAGAATACTGCGATATATTATTCGACGGGATTGGTGGCATCGGCGATGGTGCTCGCACAGGAGATGCGTGACGTGTCTGTGTTGAGGCTGCGGCAGAAGCAGCTCCTAGTGACGTGCGTCGCGGTTGTCCTGCGCGGATGTTTCCATCGGCGAGGGTCGGGGCACTGTCGGTTGTGGGTTCTTGCGGTTGCGAAGGACAATGGATCTTGGCGTCGCTGACGTGAACCTTCATGGTGGCTGCGGTGGCTGTGAGATCGTTCTGCAACTGCTCGACACTCTGTCGTGGGCCGCGTACCTCGCCGTTGGTGTCATTACATCGCTGGGAGTACCGGTCTAGCCGATGATGTGAGTCCTGGAACCGTCGGTCATGTGATTCGCGCTCTCGCTCCAAGCAGTTGAGGACTTCCTCTGCCCGCGCCTTTTTCAACGTCTCTTTTTTGGGGGATCTGGGCGGGTCGCAACTGCGCGCGGTCCGCCGCCTTCATACCTCGGCCATCTCGGCAGCGAGGGGGGCGATATCGTAAAACGAAGTCGGGGTGCCCAGCTGGCCAGTCTGGGTCCGCGCAGCGTGCAACTCGGCCAGCGAAGCCTATATGCAGGGCAACTGCTGCTCGACCGTGCGGACTCGGTTCTCGCGCGCTTGCACGCGCCCCTCCGACGCGTCAAGACGTGGAGCACTAGCCGTCTCGGCTGTGCACAGCTCGCGGTGCAACTCGGAGCCTGTCGCGGCACTCTCGGAGTGGAGTTGGCCGTGGCCACATCGACGTGATCGCGAAGAGCAATGAGGTCATCGCGGAGCTGGTGAACCGTAGTCCACTGTACCTCTGTAGCTGGAACCTGCCGCGCTGTCAAGAGCTCATCGCGTAGTGCCCCGACAGCAGCAGCGCCCGCATCCCTGATGCTCACGAGTTGGGCCTCCGCTGCAATATAGTAGTCGTGCAGCGTATGGATTGCAGTGGAGTCGGAACCTCGGTGCGACTCCACGCGGTCGACTTGATGCTGGGGCTGGGTGGGGATCAACTGATCTTCGGCGATCCTGATCTTCGGCGATCCGAGCATCGACGAGGGCAAGGGCGTTGTGGAGCTCTTGCCTCAGTGTTGCTGTCTGCGCAGCAAGACCCGTCAGCCGCTGTTGGGTCGTGTCAGCTTCAACCTGGCCTCTATGCTCTGCAAGACCACGCGGCGCGAGGTCACGCCGCATAGAACTCTGCCGTGAGCGCCTCTGGGAGGGGCTGCGGCTGTCGCCCCTACTTGGAGACAGGATATAACGGCTCGGGGACTCTTCGCTGCGAGGTCCGCCCAATACGACCTTCTATGGCTCACGCATGTTCCGAGACGGAGACCACGGCGGGGCTCATGGGACGCCGTGCGCCCCGGCGGTGGCGTCAAGCGGAAGCGCTCTGGAGAGACGTTTCACTGGCGCCGCCGCCGCGGGTGTTTCCACTGGCGAAGATTGGAGGGCAAGGGGGCGAGGCGAATCCAGCGGTGGCTTCAAGCGCAGCCGCGGGTGTTTCCACCGGCGAGGGCTCCGAAGTAAAGGTGGCGCCAGGAGACGCCACGGTCAACTGGGCGCTGTCCAAACCCTGGCGTGCGAGAAGGCGCCGGCGCGGGCGGCGTGAAGGAGTCCACGACGGCTCCGAATTCGGCCTCAAGTTGCGCATCGGCGCCGCCGTCGCCCGGCAGGGGGGAGAGCGGCATCGCCTGTCCCATCGCCCTCTCCGCGGCGCCTTAACACCCCCGCTCCGTCGAACACCCAGCGTGCATAGAGGCACTGGTCCCCGTGGGGTCCAGCGCCATGCGGCTGAGTCAAACACGATGCGGGGTGTCACACCGGAGTGCGACATTGAATAGGCTGATCACCCGTGCATGTAGGTTGACGACCGAAGAGTCGAACCTACAAGGTTGCCCGTAGGTCGAGGAAGGTAAGGGAGAGGGTAGCGATCCCTTGTCCCATGCGCCGCGGGTAGGCGGCGCTGCACCTGTTTCTAATACCTGAGCCGAGACGGCAGCAAGGTAGATGGATATAGTGCTGATCTGACCAGACTTCACACACATCCACAACCTCCGCCCCCGCCTCGGCCTCCTCCGCCTCAACTTCCACGATGTCATACCCGTCCTCGCCCTCCACTTCCTCCACGCCCTCGTCCTCCATGCACTCATCCTCCGAGCCTTCCTCCGCGCACTCCAGCTCCGCCTCGGCGCGCCGCCCAGAGGCCTGCAGCTCCGGGGAGGCGGCGCTCCTGGACACCTCCAGTTCCTCCTCAGCGCGGCGGCGCACCGCGCCTTTCAGCCCAGCGGCGGGAATGGCCACCTCCAGCGCCGCCTCGGCGTGTAGCGCCTCGGCGTGCGGGGCCGCCGGCCCAGCACTACAGGACGACGCGGCCGACAAAGCGGCCGCAGCAGCCGCAAAGGCCGCCGCAGCCACGGAGGCGGCGGCCGCGGCTCCAGCGGGGCCCGCGACGGAGCCGGCGGCAGCGATGGACACCGCCGCGGCAGCAGCACGGGCCACGGCGCAGGGCGCGCTGGCGGCGGCCGCCCGGGCGCCAGCAGCGCCAGGCGCCACGGTGTGGGGCGCGCCCGCGGCGCCTACGACGCCCGTGGCGCGCACGGCACCCGTGGCGCCTGCGGCGCCCGCGGCGCCAGCGGCACCAGCAGCGCCAGCGGCACCCGCGGCACCAGCAGCGCGCACAGGCCGCGCAGCGCAGGCGGCCCGCGCGGCCGCGCGCTGCCGCTGCCGCAGGCCGAGGGTGACTCCAGTGGACCACAGAGAGGGGAGCCAAGAGGAGGAGGAAGCCCCTCTCAACGCCCCTCAGGCCGGCCGATGTCCAGGGCTGACTCCGGCCCCCAGGGGGTCGCGCTGGCCAACCTCTTGCCAGAGCGCCTGGAGCCAGCTGGCTTGAGCCAAGGGGGTTACGCACGCACGCACGCACATACACACTGACACGTACACTATCGCTTACAATTACGCTTACACTTACAATTACACTTACATTTACACTTACACACACACACACACGCCAACACACATACAGACATACATACATACGTACGTACATGCATACAATCATGCATACATGCCATGCGTGCACACATACATACATACATACATACATACAGACATACATACATACCTACATACCTACATACCTACATACCTACATACATAAATACAAACATACATACATACATATATGCTTACATACATACATACATACATACATACATACATACATACATACATACATGCATGCATACATACATACATACATACATACACACATTCACACATCCGTACATACATACATACACATACACATACATACGTATACATGTACATCTGGCACAGAGGACAGGCTCAGGCTCATACAAACATAACAGCGACACGTAAGCGTCGCAGAAAACTGACAAGAAGAGGCAAATGGTGCCAGGTCCGACGAGGAGGGGGATGATAGTGATGAGGATGATGAGGAGCAGGAGGAGGAGGAGGAGGAAGGAGATGGACAAGCAGAGAACGACAGAAGAGGAGGATCATGGGGATCACTGATCACCTGGGGGCTTTTGTGAAATCGGCGAAACAGCGGGGTCGCAGTCAAACGCAGGTGGGGTTGCCACGCCTTGCTATGTGTCTGTGTGTGGGGGGCGCAGGAGTGTGTTCGACACCTTGCGATTGCAGTTCAAAGTAATTTCCGAAGGCAAGCATGGAATATGGCTCGAACGAAGGAGCCTTTTGGATGAATATGACGATAGTTGTGAACATGTCGGGGTTCAATGTTTTGGCGATGACTCACGCGAGACGGCTGTTTTTCTGGGAGCGATATCTGTCATATGGTTAAATTTGAACATCCCAGTGATGTTTGGCCCGTGACGTCGCGTCACGGGCGAAACGGCCAACACAATCGCGAACGGAACCAATCAATCGCATCCGAGGCCTACTCCCTCGGAAAGGTGCGTATGATAATGCATAAACATACTCCTAGAACCATGGCGGAACATGAGGAGGGAGGTTGGGAGGGAGGGGGCAAGCCGCTGGCCTGCATCTGCACCCACGCGTCTATGTTGTTGGAGAAGATGCGCGCGGCGACGGCCTGGGACCCGGAGCCCCTCGGGCTTCTTGGGCTATACTGTTCGCTTCTACGATGGAAGGCCCCGCTGGCGCGGGCAGGGACATTCAGACCTCCCTAGAGATGCTCGCGTCGTGAACAACCACGACGGACAATTCCCGTTTCCGGCCTTGGGGTGCCCTCGCCAAGCCCTGACCGCCAAAACACGACTCACGATGAAAGGCCGGCCTCTAACAAAAACAACACATCGGATCATCGGATCGTTGGGTCCGAAGATTTTCCAAACCACCGCGTTTCTCCCTGGTTGCGGCCTCCGCAGGGGCCGCCCTCGAGCCCCGGGGGCCATCGCGAGTGGATCCCGGGCGACAACCTGCCCCCAGGGGGGGAGGGTCGGGAGCTCGTGGGGCCACGGACTGCGACACTCACCTCGTCCTCGTTGGAAGAGGAAGGGGAGAGGAGTGATCTGCTCACCGCCTGTTTGTGAGCTGTTGTCTTTGTCGTCGCTGTCCCTCATCGTAGCCGCCGCCGTCTCAGTCGTCGTCGTCGTCGACGTCGTCGTCGCCGTACCCGTCGTCCACTGGGACTCGCTCTCACACCCAGACGCTCACAGCGGGACGTGCCAAGAAATGCGATGCACATAAGCGTAAGGATCTCCGCGTCGGGGCATTTGGGGGCCCGACGTCAGGAATAGTCAACAGCGAAGCCCGTCAGACAGTAGCGGCACCGCAAAAGTTGGCGGGACAGGTGAATAGCAAAGGCGCGCCGGCCACGCCTGCTGATCCTGAGGGGTGGGTGGGTGGATGGGGCTGGCTCTCTTTCTAAAACTGTCGGAGGTCCGCGCGTACCTCCGAACAACTGTGTTTATGCAAGTTGATATTGTTCGACCCTCGCCCTCCTCCTGCTGCGGTGCTCTTCCGCCAGAGGCCTCCGAGAAGCTCGCGGGACCTCAGGAATGGCTTGAAAGGGCAAGGGCAGTCCAAGGTGGGGGGGGGGCCAGACACCCTCCTCCTGGAGACGGTGGGAGGACGAAGGGAAGCTGAAAAGGGGGAGGCGGCCCAGGGGGAAAGCAACATCGTGGACTGGCCATGGATATCACTAGCGCATCCTCCAGAGCATGGAGATTGTTCTCACATGCCTTAATCAACGCCCTCACTCTACAGCAAGCTCGCCACAGAGAAAAAGTCCCGGCCGCGTGGGTTCTTCGACAATCGACCACTGACAAAATCTTGCGCACGCAGCATCACACCCCGATCTCTAGGTAGCAAGAACAGCGGCTGACCCGCAAAGTGGTCCCCGCCCCTGACTAGGACAGTTCCCCTTCCCTGCCAAGGCTGGTTCGGGATCTCTGAGAGATCTCATCAAACGGCTCGGCGCTGGGGCCTGCAATTCTTCGAGGTGGCCAGGGTCGTTCATGTCGATGTTCAGGTTGGTGACGTCGGCCTGGATGGCGATGATGTACCTGCACGCGCGCTGACTGATGACTGATGACGATCGGCGGAATACACATTATAAACATATCCGGCGAGGAATGTCAGTCTCAAGATGGTTTCAGCAAAACGAATTCATGAATACAGGCGCGCACGCGGCCAGTGACCTTGCAGCTAGCTGCGCGCGCAGGAGCCACAACTAAATGATGGCTATGCCCAGCTTGCTGCGCGGACAGGCGGAGAGCACGGTCGACGTCATCAAGTCTTGCATCCTCGGCATCAAAGAGCCGATGGCAGCTCGACACCGCGCCGTGCCTTCAGCGAAACTCGTGCATTTCTAGGAAGTGGACTACGATATTCCCGGAATTCTAAAGCGCTCCTGGGTGTTCCTGGGCGCTCTTGGGGAATCCCGAATGGACCTCAACGGCGCGTAAATTACGCTACCGAGGAACCCCACATACTTAATTTAAATCTTATGTGCTTGCTTAAGTTTACTAGCCGGCCGCTCTGCGGTTGATCGGGAGTTTCTGTATATAGAAGAAGGTGCGTGCGCCTGTTGGCGAGGGTGAGGATGAGGTTCCTCCTCCTCCTCCTCCTCCTCCTCCTCCTCCTCCTCCTCCTCCTCCTCCTTTTGCCTCCGTCTGTCCTCCTCCACCCCACAGCTCCATCATCTTCTCCTCCTCCTCCTCCTCCTCCTCCTCCTCCTCCTCCTCCTCATTCCTCCTCTGGGCACCTCCCCCGGGGCGCGGATCCACCGGATCTGTCCGGATCTGTCCGGAAACGGTGCCGGAGGCCGCTCTGGGCTCCTCTGGGCACCTCCCCCGGGGCCGGTTTTGTGAGGATGTCTCAAGCGAGGGCGCCGGTTTGGGATTCGTCATCCAGGATCCACCGGATCTGTCCGGAAACGGTGCCGGAGGCCGCTCTGGGCTCCTCTGGGCACCTCCCCCGGGGCCGGTTTTGTGAGGATGTCTCAAGCGAGGGCGCCGGTTTGGGATTCGTCACCGGATCCACCGGATCCACCGGATCTGTCCGGAAACGGTGCCGGAGGCCGCTCTGGGCTCCTCTGGGCACCTCCCCCGGGGCCGGTTTTGTGAGGATGTCTCAAGCGAGGGCGCCGGTTTGGGATTCGTCGGCGGATCCACCGGATCCAGCGGATCTGTCCGGAAACGGTGCCGGAGGCCGCTCTGGGCTCCTCTGGGCACCTCCCCCGGGGCCGGTTTTGTGAGGATGTCTCAAGCGAGGGCGCCGGTTTGGGATTCGTCACCGGATCCACCGGATCCAGCGGATCTGTCCGGAAACGGTGCCGGAGGCCGCTCTGGGCTCCTCTGGGCACCTCCCCCGGGGCCGGTTTTGTGAGGATGTCTCAAGCGAGGGCGCCGGTTTGGGATTCGTCACCGGATCCAGCGCGGATCCAGCGGATCTGTCCGGAAACGGTGCCGGAGGCCGCTCTGGGCTCCTCTGGGCACCTCCCCCGGGGCCGGTTTTGTGAGGATGTCTCAAGCGAGGGCGCCGGTTTGGGATTCGTCACCGGATCCAGCGGATCCAGCGGATCACCGGATCTGTCCGGAAACGGTGCCGGAGGCCGCTCTGGGCTCCTCTGGGCACCTCCCCCGGGGCCGGTTTTGTGAGGATGTCTCAAGCGAGGGCGCCGGTTTGGGATTCGTCACCGGATCCAGCGGATCCAGCGGATCCACGGATCTGTCCGGAAACGGTGCCGGAGGCCGCTCTCTGCGCGCGGCGGGGGTACTTATAAGTACTTATGCAGTTACGCCAATTATAAGTAGCTCCTAAGTCGCTCGTAAGTAGCTGATAAGTAGTGTAAGTAGCTCGTAAGTAGCTCATAAGTAGTGTAAGTAGCTCATATGTAGCTAAGTTACTTAGGAGCTACTTATAAGTAGGGGCAGCCTACTTATAAGTAGCGTAAGTACTTATAAGTACTTTGGCCTACTTATAAGTACTTACGGCCTACTTATATAAGTAGCGTAAGTAACTTACGAGCTACTTATGTAAGTGGCGTAAGTGCCACATAAGTGGCGCGTAAGTGCCACATAACTGCAGTTACGCAAACTAACGCCATGTATGGGCATGCATTTTCAATCAATATATATAACAGCGCGCGCGCTGAACAGGACGCCCAAAACACTTGTGACGCCAATGTCGTTAACCCTAAACCCTAAGAGAACCTTGGTGCCCGATCTGGAATATTGCGCGGGCGCCGTGGGAGGCATGCTGCGAAATCAATAGTTGTTTCATGCATTTGTGCTGCCGCTGGCCCAGACAAAGGTTTCAGGCACCCCAAGCTTGCGTTCAGCGCAGCCCCCGCCTTGCGTTTCGCGCATTGCAGTTGGGCCATGGCGGGTGAGACCATGCAGGCTCGCGTGGAGCGCGTCCAGGAGCAGATCTTCGACATCATCAAGGAGTACACGTTGAGCCATTGCCCCCCGATTCTCCAGTTGCGCGACCAGGCGGTGCGATTGTTGCGGAAGGAGGGTCTGCTGAGGCGCCAGAAAACGAATGGGCGCTACGTGGCCGTGCACCCGCGGAACAGGTACGGCGATGGCATAATTCCATCCCACGTGCGCACGCTGGTGCGCAGTTTTTGCAGCGACGGGTTCAGCATGGATGAGGTGGGCGTGCCCTTTGCCATCGAGATGCCACCCCCATCTCACCAGCGCCACGCCGAGGCACTCGAGTTCAACGGAGACCTTGTCAAGGAATCCCACGGCTTCTTGCCGCCATACGACGAGGGCGAGATCAAAATCCTTAGCGTGAGCAAGTCGCACACGACCCAGGCGACCCGCTGCATTCAGTTTGGCAGCCCTACAGATTCAGATAACGTCGAGTTCGGTACCGACGGGAAGCTTGACATCCACAAGATCGGGTTGAAGCGCCCCACGTTGGCAGATGCTGCGAAGGAGGGGTTTGAATGGGACGTGCTTGTCTGGCAGGCTGAAGACGCATTCGGCGCCATTATAGACTTGCTCCAGGACCCGCTTAAGTTTGTGAAATCGATGGCCCACCCTTTAACTTTTCGATTGCCCCCGCCCCCGCCCCCCCCCGCATTTATGTTGGCTTTAGCCGCGTTCAATCAGGAGTCTGGAAATGCTGCGCAGAAGGTTTCCATGAATGAGACTAGGTGGGAGACCTTGTTCAAGATGCACGGGGACGTGCAGAAGATCGTCACCAACTTCGAAGCCAATAAAAAGGAGGGCGACATCTTGAACCCCGACGTCGCGTGGGGTAGGGCAATAACAAAAGCGCAATCCAGAAATCCAGATTTCGTTTCAGAGATCCAGAGTTTGGCGACGTTTGCGAGGAAGCTCGCTGGTGGACCAGACGCACCGAATTTGAAGGAGCTTCGGGCTTTCAACCGTTCGTGCCAGAAGCCGCGCATTGTGCAGGGCCCCGTCTTGGCGGCGGTGGCTGATGCAGTGATCGGCTCGGATGGTTTGGGCTGCATTCCCTTCCGCATTGATTGCGTAAAGGCAATGATGAGCGCCGACAGCAAGTATGCATCGGGCGACTTTCAGAACCTCTTTGCATCGGGTGACTTCGGGCTTAAGCTCACGAGTAACAAGGAAGTGCAGCGCATGATCTCGCAGGCAGACATCATGAAATCGATGGCTATAGACATCGCAAAAACTGTCAACCTGTCAGAAGACAACGCGGCCGTGAAGACGTTGATCAACAGGTTCGGCATGAGGCTCGTGCACCATTGCATGAAGAAGCCCGACCCCAGGAGCCAAAAGTTCGAGTCGCTTCACCACATCGGCTACGAGTACGTGCAAGACCTGGCTACCATTGCAGGCACGCAGATCACATCCCCGTGGGCGAAGAAAGGAGCCCCGCCCAAAGCTCCCGCGCAGCAAGCTGCGGCTTCTGCACAAGTGCAGAGCGTAGGCGGAATCGCCGACAGGATGCACAAATTGGCAAGTATGGGCGTGAGCGCCAATGGCCACATCGAGGTCATCAAGATGAAAACTGTATACAAGGTGCAGGAAGTCAAGGAGGATGAGATCAAGCTGCAGAGCATCGGCGATGGGAGCGACTACACAGTCGATTCGGCATACCTCCTGAAATCGCTACTCACCCCGCGTGCACAAGAGTTCAAGGTGATCACAAAACGCGAGCCGAAGAAGGACGCCGCGCTCTCCCCCTTTCACGCTTGCAAGCCGTAGGAGGGCGGCGTGTATACTATAGGGGGAGGGGGTGGGGGAGGGGACAACGATTTTGGCAATGGAGCTTGGTTGTCTTACACACCCGCAGCCCACGTGCTCTTTTCCTTTTGTTCTCCATCCCGCACCTTTACCCCAACCCCACCGCCCATCCCAGCCCCGCCCAAACCCACCACCCCCGCAACCCCATCCCATCCCAACAGGAATACATCAACGATTGGAGTGCCAGGTGCGACCCGCGCTCGAACTCGGACTGGCAGCGCATGGTGTTGGTTGGTCACGTGACGTCGGCGCTTGATGCATTGGGTAACCTACAGGGGGCAGCGGGCGAGATGGTCGACATCGTGACGGAGCCCACGGAGCACCGCGGCGTGTACGCCAAGGTTGGCATCGATGTCTCCAGCGCGATCTTCCCGCCCTTCTCGACCAAAGTTGCCTTCTCGGATACAGCTCCAAACGGTGCCATCGACGTCGGCGCGGAGATCACTAATGCGGACGGCGTCGCGCAGAAGCTTTACATCTTCATGAAGCTGCAGAAGCATGATCCAGGCGGCATCGCGGACAACACGCGCGACAGCTACAAGATGGCGAAGATAGAAGGGTTCATGCCGCACTACTGGCTCATTGACAAAGAGGTGACCGACCCCAAGAAGTCTAACATGGCCATCAAGCTTCACACCGTTGACGCCTCGGTCGGCGCGGAGAAGTTTACATTGAAAATACCGTTCCTGGAAAACACCAAACCCATCAAAAAGGGTGACCAGCTTCGTGCACTGAAGCCGCAGGCGGCGAAGGCGCCGCCGATGAAGAGGGTCCGCACGCAGTAGTCGTGGCTCGCGGAGCCGAGCTTATTAGACACTTGTGCCGCGATCTCAGGTCGGTGGGGCGGCACGCCGATTAAGGAGACAATGGTATTATTATTGCGGATTTCCTTTAGCGCTTGCAGGACACACGGCGTCCTCTGGACACATGGCGTATTCTTCTCTTTCAGCGCTTGCAGGAGAAACAAAAACAGCTCGCATGCGCTCGCGCGGGGAGAGGGGGATGGGGGAGGGGGCAGCGGCAGCGCTGGTCCAAGCCTCGTCGCTGCGGCTGGGCGCGGGCT